TAAAAATTGCCTATAGGTAATTTAACCAAAATTACCTATATAGGTAAAAATTAACTTGCCTATAGGTAAAAGTAGTAAATTGCCTATTTGGAGCCTTGGGGAATATAGGGGGTCCCCATGAGACTATCATTGTAATAAGGAGCCCCAAAAAAAGGGTTTTGGCAATTATTTAGGCCCCTATATTACACCAACGCACCGGACAGCTTGTGATTCAGTCAGGACTGCAACTCATTGGGGCTCACGCAGAGGCTCGGCAAAGCAGCACACAAGGGTTTAGGGTTTTGGGTTTAGACAAGCCCTGGAACACTCAGCAAAAAAGGGTTATGCGGGGGTTTGGGTCATGCTAGAGTATACTCCAAATCCGCATTCCAAGTATTATGCTAATTCACAGATTATAGACCTATATGCCATACTCCGAAGATGCTTCCAGGAAGAATTCAACAAGGGTTGATGATGCTATGGTGATGATGATCACTAGGACGATTACTACGATGATGTTTTCTTGTTCCTATACCATCACTACTATTATGGTCGTTGCCCCCAACATGATTAGTCTTATCGTTCTTATCCTTACTGTTATTACTACGTTTTGCGTTGCGAGCCGCAGAAAAAGGAATGTTTTCGACACTGCCCATAGGCTCCATAGTAGTTCCTTTTCGGGATTACCTTATATAGGATTCTAGATATAAGCCCCAAAAGGGAACTACAACGGAGCCTGTAGGTATACTGCACACCCAAAACCCTGAACTCAGAGACTCCAACAACCCTTTATTAAGGAATATACCTTAGATCTCATTAGGGTTCCCATTATAATTTCAGGTCTATTCCTTAATTAAATCGGTTTTGGAATCTCTGGGAACCTTTGGACACCTTGACCCTTTACTTAGGGTTCCCATTATAATTTAAGGTATATTCCTTAATTAAAACGGTTTTGGAATCTCTGTGAACCTATATCATATGGGAGTTTTCGAAAATACAGGGTACCTTATTTGGGGGTCCTTATAATAGGGATGCTACTATTCAGGGTGCTATATTAGGGTCCCCTATTTTCGAAGACCCCCATATCGACCTTGGAGCTTCTCGGAACCTTGAGCTCCTCATCGACGGAAGCACGGCTCTGGCCTCTTTGGGCCGCAATCCGCAGCGGGGCATCGATTTCGAAGGTCTCGGCTGAGTTTACCGGGTTTCAGGGCTTTGACGGTTTGGGGTTTAATTGTGTTTATAGGATTTTTAGGGCTTTTGAGCTTTTTGGGCATGTTTTTCGAGACTTAGGATTATGCGGGGTTGTTACGCACGTCTTGCTTGCGATTTGCATGTGGGTTTGGCTTGACAGTAACATAGGATTAAAAATGGCTCCAGTACTGTTTGGGGGCTATGTCTCCTGATTGGAAAGATGTAAAAATCTAATTGCAAAGCATCAAAAAGCACTGATGCGCCCAACCCATAAATCCGCAACCTATGATGCAGTCATGCCTCAGCAAATCAGTGTCACTCATCGAATCTAGAGCCTCCATGATAGGCTCGGGCTTACGGCCCCACACTCCAAACAGCCCGAAGTAGGCATCATTGTAGTATGATAGAGTTCATAAGCCCCGTCGTAAGCATTACTCGCAGACAGTAGGCCTCCAAGTAAGTATTGTTTGTGACTGCAAAGGCGGTAGTGTTTGTAGACATTGGAGTCTAGGGTTAAACCCTTGCATTTCCCTAAACCCTAAACTTCCTAAACCCTCATGAAAGCCTTGAAATTCTTTGTGCAGACCTAAGTCCTTACGGCCCGAAATCCACATCGAGAGGGCGCGGCGGAATGTAGGGGCCTTAATAATTAGAATAGGGTTTTGGGTTATATTATACTATAAACATGTTCAGGAACCCCCCAAAATAGTGTAGGTGCTTACTTATAGGCTTCTATACTACTACGGTTTCGGGTGTAGTTAGGGTCAACACATGTCAATATTCCAGGGTGTCACGTTGATTTCGGGATAGCAATGCTTAGAAGATGAGGGATTTGGGTATACTACGGTTTGGGTTGGGTGAGGGACCGTCAAACGCAACCCGTAGTCCGAAACTTAGACATGAACTAGACTTTGAAGTAACCAGGGAGACAAAGCATAGACTTTAGTTTCATAATGGTTCCCTTAAGGAACAGGTCCCGAAAAAAGTATTCAAGTATGGTATTCCAGAACCCAGGGAACCTTCAGGGCTACCATGGCTTTTGCACTTTCGTCTGGCTACGAGGCAGGGACACAGGCTTCTTTCATTCTTTTGTTGGGCTTCAGGTTTAGGGTTTCGGGGCTTTTGGGGTCGTCCTTGCGAGCGTTTTGACACTCGGTACACTTCTCGATTTGTGCGTGTCNNAGGGGCCATGCTAATCTTCTCTGTATCGTTCCAACTTTATCGGATGATCCCCGACGGGAATCCGTGCAAGCGTTTAGGGTTTAGGGCAGAGGGAGCCAGCGTCTGCTGCAGGAGATCTGATGCTCATCTGATGCTGTCCTCACGGTATCAAAAAACTACCCATAGGCCCCATAGTAGTAGTTCCTTTTTGGGATTACCTTATAGGGTTACGAACCCCAAAAAGGAATTACTTTAGGGCCTATGGGTAGACCTTATCTCCACAGCCCGCCCCCTAAGCCCCACCTTGGACCCTGCAAGAACTGAACCCTTAGCCTTTATAAATCGGTTTAGGGTTTTGGGTTTAGGGTTTAGGGTTTAGGGTTTAGGGTTTAGGATTTATAAACCCTAACCTAGCCTAACCCCTACAAACCTTAAACCCTGACGCCTAACCGGCCCTAACCCAAATAAAACCTCTTAGTCGTAATTAACCCTTACAAACCCTATGAAGTCCCAAAAAACCGAATAACGAAAACCTTTTAAACACCGCAAACTCCGCATAATCCGTATGAAAGCCTCGTAAACCCTATAAGCGCCTATAAACCGCAGTTAGACTCAGAAGGACCTGGGAAACCCTATGAAGTCCCTCTAAGCACTTCAACTGTCGTCTTCAAACCTGGCCCAAGAGCATGATCTATGTCTCCAGCATCACCAAAGCAAAGGCAGAGGTACTCCTGTTTTTGAAGGGCTCTTTTCCGACTGCGTACGGCGTACGGCTAGAATTCCTCCCAAGGTTTAGGGTTTAGGGTGGATCCCAATCTTTGCAGTTGCCTTTGGCCTTACTTACTGTAGTGCACTTTAAACACAGTCTATTACCGAGAGAGGGCTCGAGGTAAGTGCAAGTTTGGGGTTGGTTAGGGTTGGTTTGCGGCCGTGCTGCCCCATCCCTTCAAATCATGTCGAAATCCACACTTCCTGCCATTTACAGCGTAGAGTAGAATTACTGATGACAGCGGCCGATCAGGCCAAACTAGTACAGCAATGTCGACAAGGCAGCGGTCAAAGCACGAGCGGCCGCCTAATTATGAACACGATAATGGCTCCAACACTTAGAGACACATGGTGTAGGAACAGATTTCAACAATGCTGTGAAGCTCGGAATTGTGCCTCGCTAGCATGACATGCAGTTCATAAAACTCCCCGCGCATGTAAAGCCGAAGGTAAGAAACAAGCTGGTAACATGAGCCAAAGCAGCTTAGTAAGTGAGAGAAGACAAGCAAGTGACATGTCGAAGAGAAATGATCGGCTACCACGAATATCAAAAGAAGGGCCAAGGAGTCATCTATCCAAAAGCTCCACAGATCTAACTTAGAAGCGAACGAAGGAAGCAACCACTGAACGCATTGTTGAAACAAAGGGTTTCTGTGAACAAGCAAGTAGACATTCAGAAGTGCGAGTCCTCGCAAACCAGGACCGAACTGATGTACATGGTATATAAGTCGAAGTGGTGTTTGTGCAGCTTGTGTAGTACGCATACATAAACCTCTGTGTCTTTTGCAGGCAGCAAGAAATGAGCTTGCGTAGTCACACGAAAGAGAAATCCGGTGAGGGACATTTTGTCTGACGTCATGCTATGCAGCTCATTGGATCCACCTTGACCCTTGCGGGAATGAAGGCGAGCGGCAAGCGAACTAATGATGGCTTAACTTTTGACTCCACCATGCGAAACCCGAAGCCCTCCCCTTTTTGAAGTCAACCCTAAACCCTAAACCCTGCAACTCTTAACCTGCCATGTATTCCACCAGCCCTTGCCTTCGACACCAGCCTTCCGGAAAATTGCGCAAGAAGCCTCGGGCACCGGATTTGGGGCTTATAGGCTAGGATTGAGAGTTTAGGTACTTCAGGGGCTCCGGGTTTGAACCTGGAGGGTTTAATAGTGGAAGCCAGTAAGTTGGAACATGGGTTTAGGATTTAGGACAATTAGTGCGAGGATCCCTTATACTTTACCTTGAGGGCATGGGGATAATCATGTTTGAACTGTCTGGCTTCTACTATAGGGTTTGGGGTGTAGGGTTGAGGATTTACAAGGCTCTTTGCTTTGCCTCCCTCCTGGCTAGGACGAACCTACGATGCAGGGTCAAGCACGAGCTGAACTCAGCGACGGACCCCACTTGCTGGGAGTACACAAGTCTGCCGCGCTTTTGCGGAGAGGGTTCTGGACTTCTGGGGATTGGGGCTACCTCTAGACTCGATTATAGTTCCTTTTGGTGGTTTCTAGAATTCGGGTTCTGATTAAAGTAATCCCCAAAAGGAACTACAATGGAGCCTTTAAGGCTCTGAGTCTGTCAGGGTTCAGGGCGCAGGCTTTAAGATGTTGTTGTTTGGGCTTAAGGCTAAGACTACTTAACATACCTTTGGTGAGCCAACCTTCCCGGTGGAAAAATAACATGAAGCTACTGAACAGGGTTTGGGCGTAGTCCTGAGTCCAGGTTCCTTGTAGGCGTACTTCCACAGGAACACTATACCGTACATGGTAAAGCTTAAAATATCCAAGTTAGATCCCACTGCAAGGGCCTATACAGGAAGAGTGAGGAATAATGTGATTCCTATGATACAGGAGCTGTACGCGTTGGTGTATCAGACCTACCACTAACAACCCCCGCAAAAAGCCCTCAGACTGCAGAACATCTGAGAGCGCTTATCAAGATCCCATATAAGCAGGTCTTACAGCACAAGATACCCTAAACCCTAAACCCTAAAGGAACACGAACGCCGATATCTTACTGAGTGCCGCGCCACCAAGCCTGCTCGCTGTGCTCGTCGCCCTCTGCCTCTCAAAGGCGGCTGCTTTTGGAATGTTTCAGGGTAAGGGGGTTTAGGGTTTAGGGTTGAGGGTTTAGGGTTTTCTGCCTCCTACTTAGGGTTTAGAGTTTAGGGTTTTAAGTTTAGGGGACCATTCTGGGTGTGACTCGCCTGCCTCCTTCCTTCAAATCGTGCTCCCGCCCCCAAAGTCCCGTGCTGTGAAACAGCAACATGCTCCCACCACTTTGGGGTGCGCAGATGGCAAGACATTGAAAGCCCCATGGGGGCGCTTGTTGGGCATGTAGAGTTTGGACTGCCGGGTGCTCTCTCTGTGTCTAGAACCCGTCTCGAATCGTTAGACGAAGCCCTCTGAAAAATCACACACCTACACCCTACTGTAGAAGAACTGGGACCCTAAACCCCGCTATAAACCCGTTGAGCCGTTAAGGGCTTTAAAGTAAGGAATTAAGGGTCAATGAAGGGGGTCCTTCAAATGTTCCTTTAAGGGGATTCTTCAGGGTTCCTTTAAGGGCTCGATACCGGCTATACCCTCAAACCTAAACCCTAAACCCTAAACCCTAAACCCTATACCCTCAAACCTACTGGTTCCTGTAGGCTTCAAGGAACCCCAGGAGCCTAACCCTTAAAGGAACACAAAGGACCAGGGTTTAGGGTTTACCTTAAGAACCCAAAACCTACTTTTTTGTAGGGCCCCTATAAATCCCATCTCAGGGTTTATAATCAGAACCTACAGAAAAGTAGGTTTTGGGATATTACCTATAGTCTCCATTGTAGTTCCATTTTTTGGTTTAACCAATTCTATATTAAGGATTTCATAAGGTATCAACAAAAAGGAACTACAATGGAGACTACAGGCTTCAGGGTTTCAGGGTTCCTTGGAGGGCTCCTCTGTAGCAAAGCGGCTGCGACGAGCACCCCCGAGGTCGGCAAGTCCAGGCGTGAGGCCTGGGTGCAACTCTTCAGCGCCATTTGGGGTATAGGGTTTAGGGTTCTAGGGTTTAGGGTTTAGGGTTCTAGGGTTTAGGGTTTAGGGTTCTAGGGTTTAGGGTTTAGGGTTCTAGGGTTTAGGGTTCTTGGGTTTTGGTGTTAGAGTTTAGGGTTTAGCGTTCTAGGGTTGGGGGCTTAGGTGGTACTAGAGGCAGTAAGGGGTACTAGAAGGATACTACGAACTCCTGTCCTGATGGAAGTACATAGGGCTTAGGCGTGCAGGACACAGGGTCGATGCATAGGGGTTCAGGCTTCTGGGGTGTCTGTTTGTCTGTGTGTAGGAAAGTAAGCAACTAAGTGAGTACGCATGAAATAGCAACAGTAATATTATATCGGTGCGGAGGGAGATGAACAACGATTTTATCCATATCTGCTGTTTACATATATATATATATATATATGTATGTGTGTGTGTGTGTGCATCTATGTTTGCATTTACATGCATAACAACCCTCGTACATATACGAACACATCGAGAGATAAATGTGGATAATATCAATTTCATGACACAAGGACTGCAGAAAGATATGGGGCTTCAATGTATAATCGTAGGGAAACACTAAAAAGCATAGCATAACGTAGCCAACTGCTGAGACCGTGACACCCGAGGCGAACGAACCCTCTAAGCTGTAGTTAAATAAAGGGTCCAGACGTGCCAGGTTTTCGCTTTAATGTAGATCCTCTGACTATTCCTGCAGTGCCTGCTGAATCAATACCCTGGATGTGCAGCCGTGCCGCCCGGGTCAAGGGGTGCCCACGCCGTGCTGCCACGAGGCCGAGGACATCGTCGGTGGAGAGCCCCGCAGGCTTCCTCAACACACACACACACACGCGCGCACACACACACACACGCCAACAAACAAGCAAAGAAGCATGCATGCATGCACACCGACAGAGGCAGACAGACAAACAGCAGACAAACAAACAAAGGTACCCCTTATCTCACAGAACCCCCCGTGTCAGCCTAGCGTCGACAGAGCCAGCAGCCCTTGCATGTCTGCCAGCAAAGCCACTTGACCAGCTTGGTGCGGATCAGAGTTGCGCCCTCTGTTGCGTGGCACAAGAAAATGAGGGCCGGGTTTGTGCTAACGGAAAACTAAGTTGAAACTACTTTAGCAACGCCAAGACATCATGTATATACCATAACTCCCACTTCCCAACAGGAACCCGCCAGAATTTTGCAAGACTCCTTAAGCCAAAGACAACAAGATCTGTGCTGAAAAATACGCGTTCTGCTCCTCTCCCTTTCGTAGGGCTTAGGTTAAGGTCATGCAACTCCCAAAAGGCCCTATAAGTATTTATATAGTAGAGTGAAGGGTTTCTAGAATAGGAATTACTATTCTGGTTGGGGCAAGTATCCCCATGTAGGTAATTACTTAGGACTTAGGATGCTTTAAAACTGGATAGCGTACACGCCCAGAAATCTCATGCAAACTTCAGATCCGTGCACGCGTCGCACCGTCGGACGTTGCTTGACCAGTCCTGCCCTACATTATAAGCCCGGCTTCAGGTTCAGGGTTTCCCCTGAACACCCATCCTGATTTAACGTTTAGGGTTTAGGACCCTTGAGAAATCCCACAGTCGGCTGCTCCTTGTATACTTTCCACCCAAACCTCTTTGCAATCGAATAAAACAAAACCCTGTATGGCTGTTGCGTCGGGTCTCTTATGTGTGCCCGTGATCGGCCCATTCGTGTGCATATAAGAACCATTAAGAACCTGTTCTAGAATCACCTTGAAGAATTAGAATTGGGTTTTGGTGCACATAGAATTATGATCAGGAGCCCTATAGGAAATATATGTAATTATTCAGGCTTCGATATCATGGCAACATATGGCAACCACCACAAACAAAAACCAACATCGCGTGCCCAAGAAACCGGCTGGCTGCACGCAATGACCTGTCAAAGGGCCAAAAGCCGCTTTGCGTGGGCTTCCGAACCTCAAGGACAACTCCACACGGTGTAGGTCTTAGGGTTTAGGGGGGGGGGCTTGTAGGGTTTCACTGGGCTCTTGGGCTCTTTTCAGGGGTTCTCCAGTGTCGGTTCAGGGTTCAGGGTTGGGGTTGGAGGAGGGCTCTATTTGGGGGCTTCGGCTTCTCATTGAAGGTAGAGGCTCCTTTCAGGGATAAGGTTTCCTAAAAAACTTCACTTTGGAAGGACTTAAAATGTATGAGTGGGGTGTTTATGTCCGCCACCCCCGAGAGCAAAGGCAGGGCGCTTGCAGCGGCAGTTGCAGCAGCAGCAGGAGCAGCAGTAGTAGTAGTAGTAGTAGTAGTAGTAGTAGTAGTAGTAGCAGCAGCAGCAGCAGTAGCAGTAGTCGTCGTCGTCGTAGCATAGTGGCAAGCGTCGTCGTCCGAGTAGTCTTAGTAGTTGTACGACTTCCGGCAGGGGTGTCGAGGCTGCGGCTTAAGGCCAAAACCCATAAAGGCTATAAGAGGGCTTCTGCAACTCAAAGAACAGGCTTCGAGTTTCGGGCTGTTTCAGCTCAAATCCAGGCTCCAGCATCCCTTCTTGAAAGGTCTCCCCTGCAGGGGCTCAAAAATCCTTGGGCTTCTGTTGTTAGACCGCAGCTGCAGAGTCTACTACCCCCTCATCCGGAATGATCTCTTGTCAAGATGAAGATGGGGCTGGGAGCAGAGTTTGAGAACAGAAAACAACAGGAGCCAGACATTGCACTACATTCCTTTTTGCAGTGAGAACACCAGCTGTTCTTATCAGAACTTTAAGTGAACTTCAACTCACCTTACTGCGAGCTGCGAGTATGAACTCTTGCTGTTGTTTTGTGCATCTGCAAACAGCCCCTTCCCGCAAAACCTTGCGAGCCAGACAGCGCTTCCCCTGTTCGATGCTGCGTGGGAGATTTTGAAAACCGTCATTTCGTCAGATTCTTCAAGTGTTAGCACGATGCTGACGATGCTAGCTGTCAACGCTGCCGACATCATAATCATTACGCAAATCACCTGTATTCCTCTGGCTGTTGCCACTGCCAGACTCAACAAGGCTTTACGAACTTCTCCTTATGTCAACCGTCCGGCTTCTCCCGGAACTGCCCCGACCTATCCCCAAAGCGTCCCCGCACCCAGAACCGTAACCCTTACCCTCAAAGGACTCCTATCTTAAGGCCTTTGGGCCCAAACACCCTATTATATGAGGCTTTTGGGGCCAAAGACCCAATTATAGGAGGCTTTTGGGCCCAAACACCCTATTATGTGAGGCTTTTGGGCCCAAACACCCTATTATATGAGGCTTTTGGGACCACAGACCCTATTAGATGAGGGCCTTTGGACTATTTTGATGCTAAGGGTAAACCACAATCCTGCAACTGCCGCCTCGCTGCAGCTCCCTCCAGGAAGCCTCTGCACCGAAGTACGCAGCGTGGAAGGCAAACAGAAGCTCCTCTCCGGGGCTTCCGGCATGACGAGAAACTCATAACAAACAACTGTGTCATCGCACTTAAACCTACACACACTTGCGCATCTGTGTATGTATGTATATATATATATATATGCAGCACATTGCCTGTGTGCGTGATATTTAGATACCATACCCGCATGCATGCGTACATACATATATTAACATTTTACAGTACATTGCACCACATGTCACACACACACACCCCTGCATACACACAAAAACATATACATACAGACATCTGTACTTCTTTTGGCACTCGCACTCGACAAAGCAGGCGAGGGTTGGGGAGGTCCACACATTTCGGACCACCTTACACCACACCTCAACATTCCCCCACTCCTCGAAAGCCAATCGACTAGGTCAAGCTCCACAGTACGAGTTATACCAGGAGACCATGACCTGCCTAAGG